TAATGTTTGCTCCATTAAACTCTGTTAGATTTAATTTGTCTGAAGTTTTTCTTACAACAAGGGCAAACATTTGTACAACTCTCACGCTGGGCCCAGCCTTGTTCCCGGTGATTGGCAGTTGTTAACTCCATACTCACAGCAACCCTAGTGAATGGCTTCTGTTACTAAAGTCCCCATTCAACGGATGAGGGAAATCAGTCCCTCTATACGAGACAGAGTAGGGACTGTGAAGTGTGCTACATTATCCTTAGTTAGCCATAGACATGGGGCTTTAAGGTATGGAGTACACAGTAATAAATTACTAGAATTTTAGTTTGCACACAAAGTGCTGAATGCACAAGTTTTAAGTAACAAACTAAATTTGGCCTCAGGACCTTCATACCTTGAGTTCCTACGTAAGGAACTGCAATCTAACTCAGTAATTCTCAGAGTCTAATGAGGAGTTGTCTCAGCCCATCAGAGCATCCAAGCTTCAGACTATCATTGTCTCCTGACTGATTAGAATGTGTTCAGAGATGGCAAATCCTGAGGTGCAACCCATCAAGCTGCTTCTGCACCTCACTTCTGCTTTCTATCCATAAATGTTACTGCCCTTGTTACGGAGCGGAGCTCTCTGGATGGCTCCTGGGGGCTGCCTGATTTGCCACTTGTTCTTTGGTCAAACCGTGTTAAACTTAATTGTCTAAACTTTTTATTTTAGGACAGCTATGTTCAAAAGAAAGTTTTATTTCTTCCCAAACGCTGAGAGCGTTGGTGGCTGGCTGCTTCACACAAAGTGAGGAACCACCAACTTCTGCTTCTCTGCTCTTTAACCTCCACGTTTAGTACTCCTTGGCATTCCGCCTGCTGGGTGTTCTGCCCCAGCTGCCCCAAGTGAGAAAATTCTAACCTGTTTCCTGTAATTGGAGGTATATTTTCTTGATTGAGATCCAAGAGGAAACTGATCGTGCTGCGCCCCCACCCCTGCCAACTGACATCAGTCCTCTTTAGTTTTGACCCTGACACAGTTTTTTGAACTTAAAATTTTTGCCCTACTTAATGAAAAGTATTTGCAGATTTCTAAAATCTCCAGTGCTAATAATAAGAACCATCAAATACCTAATAATGGTTTGCTTTGCTTGATCAAAGATCTCCGCAGGAAGGAGATTGGCAGTGCAGTAGGAGGCCCTTCTCCTGCTGAGCCCGAACTAAAGCAAAACTCCAGGAATTCTACCCTCCCTGGGAACAGGTATCTTTCCACTGAGAAATGGAACAAAGGAGGTATTTATTTATGGTAGTAAAAATACTTTTTTTTGAAATGCTCAGATGTGTTGGTTAAAATCCAGTTTGGATAATTATATTCTTCTCACAGAAATTCCAACCACAATTATAACTGCCAACTCCAATTCCGCCAGCAGTTTGAATTCCACAGTCTCTTTTGGACACTCATTGTTCTTTAGCTCCGCTCAGCACTGGCTGGCCAATCTCCCCACTCCCCTTCAGAGTGTTCATAGTTGACTAGGATGAAGTAACACAGGAAACTATTTTCAGTTGCAATGAAGTGATTTTAAATGAATGGCATTATCGTAAGGCGATATAATATTTATTAAAACCCAGTGTGAATATGTACATTTTCATAGATTAGAATTCTTTTGATAAATAATTTCTGGCTGGCCTTCCTTTCTTCCTTCTTTTTCTTTCTTTCTTCTCTCTGTGTGGCCTGAGCTACAGTGTTATGGCATCAGCTTCATTCTCAGCAACTTGAAACTCCGGAGTTTAAGCAATCCTCCTGCCTCAGCCTCCCAAATAACTGGGACTATACGTGTCGGCCATAACACCTGGTCATTTTTCTGTTTTTGGTAGAGACAAGATCTCACTCTTGCTCAGGCTGGTCTCAAACTCCTGAGCTCAAGCCATCCTCCTGCCTCAGCCTCCCAGAGTGCTGGGATTACAGACGTGACCCACTGCATCCATCCATTTTTAGCTTTTTCATCTGTGACATTCTGCCAACCTACAAATTGATGGACTATATTCTTTCAGTATTTAAAACAAATACATGTTTTATGATTCTTTTAAAAAATACGTGAGTGTGTTATCTGCCTGATGAAAACAAATTCATGCTGTTGGTACACATTCCACACAGTATGACACGGTTGAAAGAT